AAAAGGTCCAACAGCCGAATTTCCCGATCCACTAAAGGCAAATCTAAGACCAGCGCAAGTAAGTTGAGCACATGCTCCTTAGAGGAAAGCACCGAAAGAAAGAGAAAATTCAGCGTCAAAGAAACAGAAATTATTCAATGACAACTGCCTGAACATTAACTACATAAACTACATGAACTGGCATTTAATAGAAACACAATCAGTATTGAGCGAAATATACAAAAATCCGCCGCTCGTATCTTACAAGAGGGCGATCGCTCAAAAACATGCTCGTGAGAGCCAAACTTTGAATAGGCTATTCTAAACACGCGCTGGGGAGTCGTGTAGGCCTGTCAACCCCCTTTTTACATTGTTTACATCAGAATTTTCTTGAAAAACTTTGGCAGCAAACCATTTTCCATGATCGATTGCCGGATCAAGGGTGTGATAATTCCCGCATCTCACACAGTCTGTACAAGATCTTCTCGTTTACCGCTTAATTTTAAGCCCATACATTTTAACCACCGTTTTAGCTGGTCTGCAGTGTATTCTTCCGGTTCTCTTTCAAATTTGGAGCCAGGAACGCGGTCCTCGTCGGTCAGAAATGTAAGGGAATAAGCGAACTATTCGCCATTTCCCTTGGAGCTCTCAAAGAAGTAGAGTTTGTTTGTCTGAGTCACGCGGGGGGTCTAAAATCTCATGACGTCATTAGTATAAAGCGCTATTGTAACAGTTGTCTCCGATCACAGAACCCCTGAAAAACAAATATTGGTACCTTTCTACATGTGACGCAAAACTAACCTGGTATTCCCAATCACCAGGCAGTCTTATGGAAAGGTAGGTCGGGTTAGAGAAGGGACTACTAAGCCAAGATCATTGGCAGGCCATTAAGAGGAATACAATACATTAAAAGGGGCATTTAGTGCATTCCGTGCCTTACAGCATCCAAATCTTTCATGGGGGTTGAAGATCTTCTCTTTACATGTCGCTCGATTCTCAAGGAGACGTGTTCTTTAAGACTAACTCCTGCACTCTCTACAGGAGAGCTGCAATAGATCTGACTTAACTAAAGTGGATGAAAATTCTGTGCTACTTCAAAATCGACGTAAAACTGATCAAATCAGCTTGTGCAACATTAGGCTTGCACAGATGCATGTCACGTGCACCAATTTGTGGTGCGAATGTTTCCGCTCAGTTGCCTGAAGGTGTACATGGGAGGACGTTGCAGGACGTATACACAACAACCAAGAGCTTAAACCATCTCAAGCCTGGATAGATATTCATCATTCCGAAAAAAAACCCTCAGTGTTGCTTCTGTCGCTATTAAGCATTTGTTGGGAAGCGAAACGGAAATCAAACAAACACGCTTATTCGTAACACGGTAAACGGTAAACTCACAAGTCGCGCAAGTCGCGCACACACAAGTTCGGTATCGTCTTCTTAACAGCATGGACACCCTGTCTTAGGAAGCCTTTGATTGACAAGTAGGCATAATTTGGGCATAATGCTATAGTCGGAGCATCAAGCATAACATCTGCATAATGATTAAAATTATTGTACTTTTATAATGAAGTTTTCAAGTGCGTTGAAAAAATGAGGTAAGTTTCCAAGGAAACTATGGTGCTGGGTCGGTGGGAGTAACAAGGTCATTGGGTTTTCATCAACTGAGTCGATAATGTAAATTGACCACCGTACAGAGTTTTAAAAGCTGACGTTTCGAGCGTTAGCCCTTCATGAGAGGGAATGACGAAGGGCTAACGCTTGAAACATCAGCTTTTAAAACTCTGTACGGTGTTTAAAACTCTTACATTAACAACTCAGTTGATAAAACCACAATTACGTAGTTCATTGAAAGCCTACTACCTCACGTACTATTCAAAAACAATTGTGTTCAATCAAAAGTTATGTTCTGAAATGAAGTAAGCCTTTTATCCCTAGAAAATGGCCCGGGAGCATAATGCAAAATCATGAGCATATTTTTGGGCAAGCTATGTTTTCAGGGTTTACGCTCAAAAGCATAATGCTCGAATTATTAAAAATATATCTGACCCTTCTACTATGCATGAAACAATCAGCAACCTTACAGTACTGACTTGAGTGAGAAAAAGTGATGGATATATTGGATCGAGCAGTATACAAAGAATTTGATCAGGCATAACAATACTTGCTTTGCAATGGCACAGAGAGGACGATGGAAGTTAAATAATTCAGTAGATGTTTTCAGTATCGAAAAAATTGGAAATACCATTTAAGTGTGACCTTCAGGTGTGTGCTAGTGGTAGATCACAACATATTTGCTAAAACACCATCAAAATCTTTCTACATCACAAGCCTTAAGGAAATTATAATTCCCCTCCCTAGACTATTGAAATTTGTCATTTCGGCAGTTTGAAAACTTAAGACAGATACTCCATGCATGGTACGTCTAAGGAAACAGAACAGCTCTTAGACCTAAACTTGTTTCCTCTAGACTTTGGAGAGATCATGAAAGGCTATTTAACAAACCCACCAGTGGAGTCTATTACAACTTATTCATTGGAGTTATGATAAAATTAAACCCTCTTCCAATAATGGACTTGCCAAAGGGAAACAGGAACCAATATAATGCAGGATGAGTATCCTATCTGAAGGAACCACAGCATTTTAGTAACTACCACACCATAGCCACACCCGAGATATTGCAAAATATAATTTCACGTCTATGCAGTTTGCGAATAGAAAAGGTGGTGAGTGCACCGATGCCCTTTTCTTTATACATCTTAGGATAAACAGCTCTCTGATAATGGACAAAACTGACTGTGGGGCGGAGTGACTTTTCACTAGGGATTCTAGCAAAGCTCTTGACTTTTCCACTAAGTTACCTGAAGTTTTCTTTATTTCTTCTGCAGTTCCACGAGCTTTGGTTTCCGTCATGTCTTCCAAAGATAGAGGAAACATTTGATGGGTACGTTGAATCATCTGAACAAGTTCTTCAAAGTTGACTCCTTTACCAATTGGGATAATGACGACTTTAACACCGTTGTCTTGGAGGGACCCGGCAGTGGCAGAAAGAAGACCTGAATCCCTCTCTTTTGGGGTGATCCTGGATTCTTGTCCAGATGTGATGAGAATAAGTAGTTTATGTTTCTCTTCATCAAACTGCTTTTGGTTTCTACTTGGAACTTTGAATATCTCCTTTGCCTTCTCGAGAGCTGATTTCATTTTTCTACCGTAGCCATAACAGCCAGGGTTGATCGACAGTTGGTCATAGTTGGGACGGAAACTCTCCGTCAGTGGCACCAATATTTTACTTTCTTCACCGTAAGCAAGCAAAGCAGCTCTGTTTTTTCCCGGAGTTACACTGAAACATTCAGCCATTGAGTTAACAAACCGAGTCTGGGCCTTGAGATTCTCCTCAGATACGTCCGAAGAACAGTCAATGGCGAAGGCAATGTCTGCATACCATTCATCAGAATCTGAGAGAAGAGACGACAAAATGCACAGTACTTCTTTATCAAAATCTGATAACAGTTTGGAGAAAAACATAACGTTTACATGTACAGAGCTCCGAAAAAATTACATTCTGTTCATAGCATATCATACAATCTGATAAAGTTGTAACAAATCGCTGAAGCCAGTTTGGTTAAAAGGTTCATCTGAGGTTATCCTTAGATGGAGACGCACTGATCCTGTCTATACTCTCCCAAGTAGCATTGTTGCAATAATCTTCCAATTATGAAACTGATAGAGGCAGAAGCATATGACCTAAAAGTGTCTAACCTCCCCTATATTGCCTTAGAGTTGAGGTTTATATGCCGGCCAATCAGATGCAAGAGTCCAAGTTTTGCCCAGATATGGAATTAGAGGTTCAAGCAATGTTTCCTTTCATGAAAACTCACAACTGGTTACAAACATACGTTGAAAAAGCCATAATCTTTACTGAGAATTACTGGATTAGTTATGCTAATTGATTTCCCCGCACTTAATGAGTCGATCGGCGATGGCGCAGCGGTGTTAGATCCTTGATGGAAGGGACATCCACAAGTAAACTCAACTGCTGTGAAAATAAAAACTTCTGAGTTTTCATCGAGACGAGGGGATATTTTGACATCTCAATCCATGTACTTTCAAGACAGAAAGGTGAAAAATATGAACGGCGAACCCACCACTGGAGTTATAAAAGTTGTGAACAGAAGTTAGCTAAACTGAAGTAAATGATATAAACCACTTTCATAAATGGCTGCCAGATTAATATCCTTTTGTTTAAATTTAAATTAGCCTTTCTGGCCTCGTTCTCCAGTACAAAATTTAAAAGAATACATTATCTCAAGCGAGGCCAGAAAGGCTAATTTAAATTTAAACAAAAGAATATTAATCCCGCAGCCATTTTTGAAAGTGGTCAAATTTCAAGAACTAATTTACTCTCTAACTTTTATTTGAACGAAGATTTAAGGCTGACTGAAAGTAGCGTCCAAATTCTGAGGAAACGCTACACAATATTTAGTTGATGAGTGATCGAGAAAGTTGTGAAAATACGGCTGAATACGCTAAAATAACACCTGCAGCAAAATTTAAAGTGCGCACAGAGTAGAAGTTTAAGTTGTAGTTTTTCAGCTACATGTTGCACCAGAGTTTCGTTGTAGTTGTAGTAGTTTCTTTGAATATTGTGTTTTTACCCTCATAGCTAATTTGATTTTATGCCAACTTTAGGTCTCAGTTTTCATGTTGTCGGTTATTTAGTAGACGACTTTATGTAAATCGATCATCGGGAAAGGCTGCATCATTTTGTGTTTCAGTGTGTAGGTTTTTTATCTCAAATTTGCTCTCTTGTGAAACCAAGTTGTCTCCTGCTTCTGAAAATTTAGATAGAATGACGACTTTTCGGGAGAAAACTGTCTATTTTAAATTTGAATATAACAAAATCATATAGTTGTACTGCGGTTTCATGTAAGGTATTTCCACTACTACATATTACTTCGACGGGTTTAATCCGAATCAACATAATGACCAGCTCCCAGTTGGCATTTTAGCTCAGTTGGTAGAGCACTGCAGCGGTATCGCAGAGGTCATGGGTTCAAATCCTGTACGGGCCTGAATGTTTTTCAGGCCTTATATCCACTACTACATAAGTAGGGTTCATTACTGCGAGGATCGCTTTCATACCCAACTGTCTATTTATTTACAAAAGAAGTGGACTACTTGCGTCCTTGTACGTTCACTACAAAGGAATGGTTTACCTGTTGACTGTTGATTGCGTCTCCACTTAGACTAACTGGGTTGCAGTAGTTCATTAAAGAACTCTTAAATGTTGAAATTCATTACTTGGCTGCAAGTTACGTGTTTAACTATGCTTTTACCCGCTTGTGGAGTAAAATACCCGTTGTTTTAATATAATATTTTTAAATATTGAGAAATAACAATAAACTTGGCCGCGAATCAAACTCACAAAGCGTGCAAAGCCCCTCTTATAATTACTGTTCTTTTAAAAATCTAAGATTGATCGGCTCTTCAAACCCATTGTTTTCCCCTAGAAAAACGGATCTGTTACACCTTTTTTTTCTTTTAAAAATAGCTGCATTTAGGATGCCACCACTACGAGTGTGCAAGGAAACCACAACCCACCTTCGAATGGAGAAGTGTTCTCAAAGCCATCTGAAGATCTTCTATTTGTCGAGGTTTTAGGATTTTTTTCACCATCGTCATTGTCCACAGGATTGCTAGAGGCAGCCATTTTCAGTCCAGTACCTTGCATTGAGAACATCAATTTTAATTAGTCACCTTTATAAGTTAAATATAATCTGTACCTTGCATATGGCTTTAATAGAATAATCAAGCACATGCATGTGTGACTTATCATTGAGCAATTTTTATGTGCTTGCTTTTGTGGCCTTTTCCTGCATTGGTGATCGTCAGGCTGACCAACAAGTTGGGTCAGTAAGTCGTGGCTGGAACAATTGTTTTGGCTCCCTGGCTTTCAGCTTTAACCGCAGATAAAAGACTCCAATATATAACCAACATCATTTCTATATCAACGGCGTCTACCAGCAACATAAACGTCTTTTCATTCAACTCAATTATTATTTTTTTGTCAATTTTACTTTGAGAATAACTTCAATTTGCGGAGTGGATTGAATGTTAAAATGTTTCATAGCGCCATTAGCCAGGACGATTAAGGCGGAAAGCCCAATTGGGCGCATTGGATGATTTTCGTCATTCCAATCAGCCTTCAACTCACTTCCTAACAATAATTACTTAGCACAAAGATTCAACCCGAGTTATTCTTTTTGTTCCATGTTTAACTCACATTCGAAATGGATTAAACTCCTGCACTTTAAAGAGTTACTCGCAGATTGAGACTCGACTGTTGAGTAGCGGTGATGTCGAGAATGAGCCCTTGTATCATATAGAGGACCATGTTAACATTATAATAAAGTATGATTATTTACCTGCATGAATTTTTTGACTGCCAAGGGCCTCAGTCAGTTTGCTTTGCTTGGTAGAGGATTCGTCCTCACTTAAAGGAACAGTATCTCCTCCTGTAAAATATTTAACCACAAAAAGTTAAATCTACACCGATAAAGAATGGAAAAACTCATGATGTCATTTCTATGGTCTCACTTCAAAAGCTCCACGAGTTTTCATTCTTAAATCATCCGCTATGAAATATCGCAGTCTGCATCTGCGAGCGCCTTTTAAAAAACCTTCAATCCTTCTGGGTGTTTCCCAATTACTGCATTATGCAAAAGTTGATATGATAACAATGCATCTGTTGTGTTAGCTGACATGGTGGAGTTACTTGAGAGTATAACTCTCAATGTATTTTGTACTATTAAAGATGGCGAATTGGGAGGAGTACGTTTGTTCACAAAGGAATATTTTACATGGTGCCAGCGACAGGATCCTATTACCAAAAGATACAAAACAAATCAGGAAAAGCACGGCAAGACGGAAGACGAAGAAGCCAATGGAGCACCAAACCCGGCTGAACAGAGCACGAAATTGAAGAGCCGTCCGAAGCTGCCATTCCTCCGCAGGCACAGGCAATTAATGTAAATCAACAAGCCATTCAGCAGGTATTCGCACCCTATCAAGTTCCTCTGCCGGAAATGTAGTTCCAAACTCAAAGATTGACTAGGATGGATTTCACGCTTCGAGCGATTCAGAAAAGCCACTAGACACGATCAAAAGGATAGTGAAAATCTAAGTAAACACGTTAATTTAATCAACGGGCAAAGAAGCACACGACAGTGTTCTCATTTAACCTTAACTCTATCTCACCAGTACGATGTTGTCAAAGGCAAATCCAAATCACATTTTGTCGCCAAGAGAAATGTCAGTTTTGAACGAGCCAAGTTTAAACTCAGATGTCAAGGGGATGATGAATCAGTGGAAAACTTCAGCACCGACCTGTACTGTCTCACAAAGTACTGTGAATTAGACGCTCTCAAAGACGACTTAAACAGAGACAGAATCGTGGTACGCTAAGAGATTAGAAGGTTTTGGAGGTATTCCAATTGGCTCCACAGATAATTTAGATAAAGCAGTCACTAAAGTCCGTCAGTCTGAAACAGCGAAGATAACAGACCTATCTCCTGGGAAACAAGCCAAACGAACCACGGCAGTGTGGATCAGATATCTCAAGCTAAAGGCAGAAGTGACAAAGGAAGATAACCAAAGAAATCATCCAAGCCCAAGAACAAAGCCGATAAGAACTCTGACGAAATAATAATTCTATTCAAAGTGCCTGAGACCACAACACTTAAGGAGATTATTTTCAGCCAGAGAATCAAAGTAAAACAATTTCTCTAAAGTGGTTTAAGTCTATGTCATTCAAGATCTTGAGAGAGCCTTGATAGGAAGAGCAGCAGGTGGACGTCTAAAGCTTGTTGGCACACTAGACATTGAAAGCTCTAATGAGTAAAAAAAAATTATTCAAAGGTCTGAATGTCATGAAAGACAGCTATCAAATTATATTTAAAGAATATACCAAACCGTGTCAGGTCACAGGTGAAACAAACTCCAATCCAGTGTCCACAAAAGTCCAACTTTTATTTCGAACTTCGAAACATGTGTTGTTCTCCCGAGCAGGACACATGAAGCACAATTACACAAAGTGTCCCCTAACGCATAGTTTATGTAATACAACTGTAAAATAATATATCAAACGCACAGCCACGTCAACTGCACCAAGAAAAGTACCCCTCCTACTGTATCACAAGACCAAATAAGAAGGAGAATTAAACTAGACGCATAGCTACGTGAACTCGGGCCTTCAATATTGCACATCTGGAGTTATCTTCAGGGAACGGCCATATTGCCATCGTTATTGACGTCACGCAATTTTGTCATTGCTGGTCATGAATAAGTCTACTGGTGTTTATTTTTGTCTGCTGGAGTTAATTGAATGTTGTTATGGTACTAGACAACAATCAAAATAATATATTACCACACATAGAAGTAGGTTCCTACAGATGCCAAAGGTTGAAACTCAAGGACTTTTCAATGACTTTGAGGGCCAATAGAAAATTAAGGACCACTTTTGGAAAGGTTTGCATAAGCAATTTTAAAATTATTTAATTTTATTTCTCAGTTTTTCCATTTAAGTACTGTAATTTTCAACTTGAAAATTGCTAAAGAAAAAGCATTGCAAAAATCAAGCTCTAGTCCTCAAATTCAAGTACTTTCAAGGCCTTGAATTTTTTATTTTTAAATTCAAGCTTCTTCAAGGACTTTCAAGGCTTTTACGAACCCTGAGTAGGTAATGTATTTGCCTTTAACTGCAAGGGGAGGAAATTTTTTTATCTATTATTGGTACTGAGTCAGTTTGTTGCCAAATGTTCACCCAAGGGAAGTTGTCAGAAATCAGTAGATTGAAGCAATATTACTGTTCAATAATTCATATTGTTTTTAATAGAAAATCTCTGAATATTGAATATTGCTGATGGCCACAACAAGAGAAGCAGTGCTATTTAGAGTTTTAGTAAATTCAGCTAGGGGCATTTGACTTTCATTAAATACCAAGAGAGAATACACACATTTTGACCTTTTTGTGGGTTTAAAAATACCTCATACAAATAACTGAAAACCACATCAGAACCTTATGCATTCACCATTATTTCTTACAAGATTTTGAAGAATTGGTTTGCTGTCAACTGACTCAGACAATATTTCTTCACTGTAATCACTTTTAGAATTTAAACTTGCTTCAGTTCCACAAGGATCAAGAGTTTTTGGCAAATCATCTGATGGAAAACACTTGTTTAAAGATGAATTTTCATATAATCTTTTTAGAGAAATAATATTAGAGAAGGTGTTTGAATTCCAATAACTACATGATTTTACTATGCAGTAGCAGAGTAAATAGACTTCTACCTTGCATGAGGACCGAATATTTTCAAGTTCGTGTTACCCTTTACAATATATAGCAACTGTAGTACACCCTATTGTCAAGACAAACTTGTTGAAATTTTCGGATGTAAGTGATTGAAAGGCTCTATCTAAGGAGGTATAGTACTGATATCCTTCTATTGTGGCTTCTTGATGAATAGTACCAGTGTAGCTCTCACTGTATTTAAGTTCATAGTCAGTCTCCAACACATTTAAAAGTGTAGGTAATTCTGTCTGCATTGAAAAGGACTGTCTGGTTAACTGAGACAAACTTGAATTCAACTGATTTCCAATATTCATGATCGACACAAGATCATTAACAGAATCGATTCCTTGTTTGTTATTGTAAATCAAAGAGCATAAACTCATTGCAGCACATTGTTGTCCTGAATTTTATCCAAATACCAACTCATTAGCTTGGCTATATGGTGCCGTCATTGTTTTGCTAGGGTCAATGTACATTGTAGTAGGACCAGGGTTTTTCTCTACATCTGAACTCAGTTGAAATTTACAATAGTTTGATGCGTGTGTCTGACTTTTATAAAGACACATGGGTCCACTGGAAGAAAGCATTGATAAATACCAAACTAATTATGTAAATACCGACGTGTTCTATGCTTCAATTTAATTATCCTTTGATATAACCTCACAGAACAATTCAACAAATACTTCTTCTTATGTTGTGGAACTTTATTTAATCTTATCCTCTTCGTATTAAGCTTACAAACATTCTTTGCAACTCTTCTAACATTCACATAGCGACGTAGCCAGGAGGACTTAGGTACGCTTGGACGAACACGCTCATAAACATATTCCTTCAGTTTTCTGCCCTTTCCTCTAAGACGTTTCAGAGTAGCTTCTGGTATTCTACCGGGTTCTCGATCACGTCTAAATACACGGTTGTGTTCACATGTAAACATAATTATATGAGATAGCTCGTTTGAAAGAGCAGGTTTCGCTTGATATTTAACAATTACTCGCCTCAGGTTCGGTGAATATCGTCGAATAATCCCCGAGACGAAGTCGAGGGGATTATTCGACAATATTCACCGAACCTGAGGCGAATAATTGTTTTAGTATAATTTCAGAGCTGAACAACAGAGAAATTTCTAAAATCATAACATTTTAGTAACATTTATTAACATTTTATTTTAACATTTTATATAAACCGCGTGGAGCGGTTTATATAGCGTCATATAAGGAACCGCTCGACCAATCAGATTGCTGGAAACTCTTTGCTCAGCTCTGAAATTATACTAATATTACATATAGTGTCAAAAACTGTTTGCGCTTTCGCGCGCATTATAAGTGCCTTTTCTACTTTCCTCTCTCTTTCCGCGCGCTCCTACATTTCTGTTTCATGA